GCTCATCTACAATGACTGATCTACATGGAACCATTTTGAAAAGACCGATCTGTTTTTCAAAGCTATTTTGCCATCTCTGTCAAAGTTAAAATACAACGTCCAAAATGTTGTTTCGACCTTTATATCGAAGTATGCTTCACTTATTTTCTAATAATGAATGTTCCGAGATTTTACTAGTCGTACTTTAGGATTGACAGAGATGGCAAAAAAGCTTTGAAAAACAGATCGGTCTTTTCAAAATGGTTCCGTGTAGATCGGTCATTGTAGGCGAGCACTGTGTAGATCGGACTTTGTACCCAAGCGCTCTGTAGATCAGCCATTGCTGACCGGATGTATCGTCCTGTTGAGACGTCCAGAGGGTACCCTCTGGAGCTCGAAACCTGTCTGAGATTTTGACCGGTTCTTGATTACACGTCTGACAGACAGACAGACAGACAGACAATTCAATTCAATTCAATTCAATTCAATTCGTATTTATTAAGAAAAACTTAAACAAGGCACTTACAGATAGAAACATTAACATAGTAATAAACTGCCTAAAAATAGAAAAAGACAACCCCTAAGCATGACTGCTTGTCAGGGGTGGATTTACTGTCTTTCTGTCATAACAAACAATAAAAACAAACAAACAAAAATCTTTTACAAACAAAAAAATCTTTTACAATTTAAACTCCACCTTTCTTTTTGTTATTTAGATTTTTCAATTGTTTGTACTTAAAAAATATTGTTTTAATTTTGTTTTCATGGCACTTTGACTATTTATATTCCTTAAATCTATTGGCATCTTATTTAGTATTTTTGGCACGACCACCTCTGTCAGTCTATCACCATACTTATTCATACCTATCTTATATTGGAAACTCTCATTTCTTGTTAAGTATCTATGTTGTACTATATTTCTAAACTCTTTCTTAAAATAATTTCTTTTTAAAACTTTTAATTTGTACAAATTCTCTAATGTTAAAATAGTATTTGGTAATGGAACTCTTTGCTTTTTCTTCACAATCTTTACAGCTCTCTGCTGTAATGATTTAATGGGGAGCAAGTTTGTATCCGAGGCAGATCCCCACACTTCAAGCCCATAACTCATGACTGATTCAAAGAGGGCTGTATAAGCCATGTTTACTATGTTATGTGGGGAGACAGACAGACAGACAGACAGACAGACAGACAGACAGATCCTTGTATGATCGACGGACTGCCCACTGGTACCTTCGATGATTCACTGTAAAATATGCACAGTCCGCCAAAATAGGTGCGAGCAATACACAGCACACAGTGTTTCCGAGAAGCGAAGGCCGGATGCAGACGCGCAATCTACTTCTTAGGTAAACAGGGGGCGAGCCTAATCCCCGAGGGGTTGGGCAAGACGATCCCCATTGGCCTAATTAAGAAGGTCAAGGACACCGAGGACGCCGTCCGCAGGCCTCCACGCCTAACAGTGGCCTCGCAGCGTCCCTGCAGGCCGATTCCGAGAGTCGCTTTCGTCGCTCTGTCTCTCTCGCAACTACACGAGACGCCCCGTGAGCACGAGAGAGACAGAGCGACGAAAACGACTCTCGGAATCAGACTGCTGTGTTCGTACCTCGCCGAGTTTACGTAAACCGGAGAGCGCGAGGCACGTTGACCCAAATCAACCCAAATCACGTCAGCGCGCGTTGCGTCAACGGGTAGGGAAAAAGGGCGAAAATAAAAGCGGAACGTGTCTGGCCGATTATTTTTTACCTGGACCGTCCCAGCCGACGACAGAGGTCAACGTCGTGAGATCCTTACGGGGACCTCGGAAAACCGCATTTTCCGCACATTTTCCAAACAGAGTTTTTTTTTTTGCAGTGACCTCTCGACTGTCGGACGGGCGCGGGCGCGCGGTCGGCCCTTCCAAAAGTGTTCGCGCACAGTTTGTCGCGTCAACGAATTGGATCAAACTTTCCGTCTGGAACCGCCACCGGGGAGAAAGGCGTGGAAAGGCGGGCGAGGCGAAGCAAAGTCGGTCAGGGGAAAGAACAGGCCGCACAGGAAAGCAGAGAAAACACACGGGATATGAAAAAAAATATATGTAGAGGAGGAGCAGAGCCGCAGGGGAAAGGGGGCGAGAGGGGCTGCACGCGAAGGTTGCGGAAGGTAGAGCGAGACGAGCGGACAGGCAGGCAGACAGACAGACAGACAGACAGACAGACAGATAGGCAGACAGACAGACAGACAGACAGACAGACAGACAGACAGACAGACAGACAGACAGACGGACGGATGGACTGGCAGATGTGCAGACAAGCGGAGGGAAGAGAAATGAAGGGAAATGCAGCAGCACAACGGACAGGCCGGGACAGACAGTGATGATTTTTCTCTCAGGAGATATGCCGTGTGCAGGAGCGGCAGCCTCGAAGGACGGACAGACGGACAGACAGACAGACAGACTGACTGACAGACGGACAGACAGACAGGCGATTACCGCGCGCCGCCCTTAACAACGCAACACATCTCGGGCCATTTGGCATCTAACGTTTACTAGATAAGGTGAGGGGGCGGGGGTCAGGCGCGGCATAACGGATGGCAACGACGCTGTAAGGCGAGTGTGAGTCATCGTAAAAGACGCGCGCGTCGCGAAATGCTCTACCCTTCGGTAGCATCCCTGCTCCACACCCAGAAAAACGTTTCATTAATATGCAAAAGAGTATTTTATTAAAATGCAGGGTGTCTTTGAATTAAAGATGCCGCACTTAAACCTGAGAAATTCTCCCGCTAAATTTAGGCAACCTATTTTCGCGTTACTAATTTCATGAACTTTTTTTCGAATGACTGAAACGATTTTCATATAGGAGAGCGTTGGTGAAAACCCCAACAAAAAACGAAGGCAGCGACAAAAAATGGGACCGAATTTACGTAGTCGATGAACTGTATACAACAAACTTGCATCAAACTAACTCCTCTCTTGCAATCCCCCATTGGACGAATCTCTCCGGCAAGCCCTGCCCGGCCTCGCCCCTCGCCCCGCCCAGCCTTGCCCCTCGCCCCGCCCCGCCCCGCCCCGCCCCGCCCCGCCCCGCCCCGCTGCCGCTTCTGCTCCATCTCGCGGGCTGCTCTCCAGAAAGCGCGTCTTTCAACACAAAGTTTGTTTGCCCGGCATTCCTGCAGAGGTTCAATTACTCCGAAATGACGTGCCTGGCTTGCCTGCCTCGCCTGGCTCGCCTGGCCGCCGCGGAGCAGCGCGGAGCAGCACAAGGAATGCACTCGGCACGTAACGAGCGAAGCGGCGCCAGACCTTCCTCAAAAGCCCCGGCAAAATTTCCCGCGCGTCCGTTTAGACGGAAACGAGCAGAGAATCCAACCCGCCACGCCGATTCAGCGTGACGATAGCAACGGCAAGGCGGCAGGGGTTCGACGCCCACCCCGGCCCTCGGCGGGGGAACTAAGGCGGAACTTTGTTATGGTTAAGTTGCTGACGAGTTAATCGTGCGAATAAACTGCGACACACAGGGACCCCTCCCCTCCCCCCCCTCCTTTTCCAACCCCTTCGGCACAGCCCTCCCTCCCTGTCCAGGGCATGTCTCATGGCCGGGGGCTGTGTGTCCCATGGCCGTGTCCCATGACCGTGCCCACGCTCACACATTCCATCGCACCGTGTTCACGTGAGGTTCTTTGTGAATGTGTCCAGCGTGTGTGTGTGTGTGTGTCCCTCTTTCTCTGCGACCCTCCGCCATATGACGCCAGGATGCCTTCCGGCGTGGCTCCCCCGCCACTAAATCCCCGCCCTCACACGACCGCACCCGCCTCACGTCTCTCCAGCCCCCGTCCCCCGTCCGCCTCCGCCTCTGCCTCCGCCTCGCTGGAGGAGGCCTGGAGGCATTAAAAAAAAGGGCCAGGGAAAGTCAGTCAGTCATTTTTGAGCATCAAGAGGCCGGCTGTTGTCTCGAAAGCAAAGCAGCCCCCGTTCGCACGGCCCCCCATGCTTCTCCATCTCTTCTCTCTCTCTCTTCTCTCTCTCTCTGTCTCTCTCTCTCTCTCTCTCTCTCTCTCTGTCTCTCTCTCTGTCTGTCTCTCTCTCTCTCTCTCTCTCTCTCTCTCTCTCTCTCTCTCTCTCTCTCTCTCCCTCTCTCTCTCTATCCTCTCTAAAGTCAGCAGATGTTTGGCGTTGACAGCGCGCGGCCTTGAAACCTTGACACAGCGTACTGGTCTGCGTCCAACCCCGCACTCCCCACCAGCCCAAACAACTTCGGCCCTCTCAGTGTGCAGGGCTGCAAGGCAGGACCGCCGCGGACAATGAAGAGCGAAGAGCGGCATCGCAAGTACGGCGGGGAATTGAAATCGAATTGCAGCGCGCATTGTTTGAGGGCGGAGGGAAGGACCCGGGGGGGGGGGGGGGGGAGAGCGAAGAGAGGGTGCACTGTAAATGTCTTACGGTGAAAGGCTGCACCAACATATTATGGTGAAGATTTTCTCCATAATACCAACGAAATTGGTCAAAATATCTGTAACATACAGTGAATTCTTAATGGTATGTTATGAAGTCAGCTGCACCGCCATAATATGGATCAATTTCACCATAATATGGAGAGTGTGAGGAGGGAGGAAGGGAACAAGAAGAAGAAGAAGAAGAAGAAGAAGAAGAAGAAGAAGAAGAAGAAGAAGAAGAAGAAGAAGAAGAGGAAGAAGAAGAAGAAGAAGATGAAGATGAAGAAGAAGAAGAAGAAGAAGAAGAAGAAGAAGAAGAAGAAGAAGAGGAAGAAGAGGAAGGCCAGTCACTGGCCAGTGCCCGGAGAGCCGAGCGGTCAACAGGGAGCGCTGGCTCCGGCTCTCCGACTCTGGAGCTGATGGCATGCGGACGATAACGTGCATGAAAAGGACAAAAAAAATATGTCTGCATGAACAGCAGCGTGGTCGACGAGGAAAACAGAATTTTCGAGCCTTTTCATTTTGTTGTTAGTCGGTGGAATTTATCGCCACAACGCAGAGAGATGCAACGGACCGTTTTGTTTGTGGAAATGAGCGCGGGGCTGGCTCACCTGTCAAAGATCTGCGTTCCCTGCAACAGAGAGAAAGAGAAACATCAGCGGGTGGGGCATTGGTCGGGAGTAAGGTGGCACAATGGGATGGATACAGTACACTGATTCCGAGAGTCGCTCTGTCTCTCTCGTACTCACGGGGCGTCCCGTACAGGTGCGAGAGAGACAGCGACGAAAACGACTCACGGGGAGGGATACAGCGCGCGTCGTAGGCGTCAGTGGCGTCAGCCCGACGAAGGCCGGGTAGGCAAGCCCGGCACACGGGTGTGCGGCGGGCCTGCCCACCGCCAAGGCGCTTTGCCTGATTCATTTTACGCGGCTTTTTGGGCGCGACGCGCCACTTGAGCCACATATTAATGCTCTCCCCCCCTCTCCTCCCGCGGCCACGGGGCGCGCATCCCGGATCCTCCATCCACCCCCCGGCGGCGGCCCTCACCCCCGCCCTGTCCCGGTGACGTCACTGATGGCCCCGCCTCATTGGCGGAGCCCCATTGGCGGAGCCCCATTGGCGGAGCCGGGCCGCGCGCAGCCAATGGAGGACAGCGTCGTCATTGAACTTGACAGCGGGGCCAGCCGCCACTCGGACATGAATGTTTCAGCGAAGCCGAGCCAAGCGTGTGAGCGTCGTCGCCCTCCATCAAGCAGTAGTGCCACCTGGCGACCTGCCGCGCCGGGGAAGGACATCCCGGACCACCCGCGCCACCGTGAAGGATGGCCAGCCCAAGGACGGGCGTCGGAGTGGAGGGGGGAGGGAAAAGTGTCACCAGGTAGGCGCCTTGCCAGCTCGGCGGCCCCACGGGTCGCGGGCCTCGGCGGGTTCCGGGCCGCGCGGCAGCAAGCGGCGGGCCGTCGACTTGTCGGGGCTGATCAACAATTTAGGAGACCTTGGGCCCGTGCCGACCGTGCCGACCGAGGCGACCGTGTCCGTGGGGGAGCACGCCGACTTGGAATCGATTTTTGCACGGTAGAGTCCCGGCCGCACGTCCGCCCTATGGACTGCCGGGCCGGCGGGCAGCCATGCGCGCAGCCATGCGCGCCCCGCCGACGTCCTGGAGGTGCAGTGCAGTGGGTCAGAAGACCGTTGGAGGCGGTCCAATTCCCGGACGCGTATTCAGCTCCAGAAATGGTAAATTGGACTCGAACCGAACGTGTGACCCCACCAATGAATTGCTCTTTGAACGGGGAATCCACTGATGGTTCGAGTCCTATTCAGCGACTCTGGAGCTCAAAACACGTCCGGAATTGGGTCCAACTCCACCGGCCTTCTGGCCCACTGTGCATCCGGAGGCCGAGCAGGCCGAGGAGGCCGTGTACACTGTAAACGCATCCACGCGGCGAGCAGCCGACCTCTACAGTGTAAATTAACCGGATCGCCGACGGGCACGGCCGGTCCGGGGCCGCTTCGTGCGAACAAAGACAAGGCTGGGAAAGAGAGAAAAAAGACGATGCAGCCCCGAACAAAACGCGTATCAAGTTTCCACACAAAGGGGCACAGCGGAGCCAGCCTCCGCACTTAGCTATCTCCCCTCGGCGACTCGGCCCGGTCGACTCGGCGGCGCAGAATGGCCTCTGGCCTGGCCCTGCGCACAGTGGACCAGAAGACTGCGCGCGCGGCCAAAACTCTAGACATGTTTTGAGCTCCAGAGTCGTTAAACAGGCCTCGAACCGAACGTGTGACCCCACCAATGGATTCCTCGTTGGGAGAGCAATCCATTGGTGGGGTCACACGTTCGGTTCGAGTCCCATTCAGCGACTCTGGAGCTCGAAACGTGGCCGCGATTTTGTCCACCTCCACTGGTCTTCCGGCCCACCGTGCCCTGGTGGAGGCCGCGGGGGAAACGCTGCCAAACATGTCGTTTTACTCCGTACTTTCAATGTAACAACACATGTCTCGCTTGTTTGAATGACGCATGTCCAGGCGCGTACCCGGAGGGGGGCGCTGGAGGCGTCGAAGCTGCGTAAGCAAAAAAGTCGCACTTTCCCCTGTAAGTACTCAACTGAGGACTTTTACTGCATCGCCCCTTCCCCCCTTCCTAACACCTCTCCGGATCCGCCCCTGCGCCCCGCGGCTGGGCAGCATCCTCGACTCCGCGATGATAAAGCTTGGCTCCCCACGAGTATGCTCCGTCTCTCTCGCACTCACGGGGCGTGCCGTACAGGTGCGAGCGAGAGTGACAGAGCGGCGAAAACGACTCTCGGAATGGCAGTGTGCCGCCGCGCTGCTGCTGCTGCGGGCCAGGAAGGCGCCGCGGCGATACCAAAGATGGGGAGCAGGCAGTATCAATCATTTACCGTGGCGGGGTGAAGCGCCTCCGGGTAAGGAAGAATGATCGTGGAGTCTTTTGTAGCCCAAATATAAATGCGTGCCATCCGTCACCGGGGGCGCGCCTGCGTGTGCGCGTGTGTGTGTGGGGGTTGGTATGTGTGTGTGGGCGCGCGCGCGCGTCCCTTACGCAGCTTGAGCTCTAGACCAGTACGGACGCGTATTCGCACACACTTTTGCTTTTGCTCTCTCTCTCTCTCTCTCTCTCTCTCTCTCTCTCTCTCTCTCTCTCTCTCTCTCTCTCTCTCTCTCTCAGGCGCGCGCGAAGCCTAACGGCACACACAAGAAAACCAAAGCGGTATGGCAGCGGGCGTGGCGGAGGCGCGCAGCACGCACACAATCGCAAACAAAACACGCATGCACGCACACACATACACACACACACACACACACGCGCGCGCGCGCGCGTCATCATGCACCAACACGTTTACACTCCCCGTCATACACACATTCAGATAGCGAAGTGCAAAAAAAAAGTACGTGAGAGCAGCGCAACTGTATACGTACTCGGTTTCAAACGCACTATCACCTGAGCCACACACACACACACACACACACACACACACACACACACACACACACACACACACACACACACACACACACACACACACACACACACACACACACACACACACACACACACACACACACACACCCCTTCACACACACACACACGCGCAGACATAGACACACGTACAGACGTACACTCGCGCGCCTGCGCCAAAACCCATCCACTTTGGCAAAGGACGCCGCGCGGCTCAAAGCGGGCGCGTGGAAGGGTGATGCGAGAGAGAGAGAGAGAGAGAGAGAGAGAGAGAGAGAGAGAGAGAGAGAGAGAGAGAGAGCACACACACACTCACACACACACAGAGGCATGTAGGCACATTTACACGGGTCCCGCCGCCGACTTTGCCGGCACACTGGTGGCGCGCTCTAATGGCGAGATTGCGGACGAATGACAACATTGCTCGGCAAAGGGGAAGAGAGACCGGCAGACCGGCAGGCCGAGAGAGCGAGAGAGAGACAGAGAGAGAGAGAGAGAGAGAGAGAGAGAGAGAGAGAGAGAGAGAGAGAGAGAGAGAGAGAGAGAGAGAGAGAGAGAGAGAGAGAGACCCGGGGAGACTGCGCCCATCACGTGACCCACATTCCAGCCCTGGCAAACGGCCCGCGCAGCCGGCCGGCAGGACGATCCGGAACGGCGGTGCTTCGTCGCTCCGTCTCTCTCTCTCTCTCTCTCTCTCTCTCTCTCTCTCTCTCTCTCTCTCTCTCTCTCTCTCTCGCGGCCCTGCGGGGCGCCTCGTGAGTGAGAGAGAGACAGATCGAGCGCCGGTCGGGATCAGCCTGCAGAATGACTATGCCATCGACTCGCCCTTCCCCCTTCCTCCTTCCCCCCGGGCCTGTGTGCTGCTGGCTGCTGCTAGCCACGGGGGACGGAGCAGGCGGGGCAGGCCCACAAGTGGCGGCATCAGATCCAGACGCAGCGTGCGGCGCGCGGTCAAAGTTGGACGCGCACCTCGACGCGACTCCAGGCTCCAGGACGCTTCCAGGTAGGGTCCCTCGGGCCACGGCGTGGCACGGCGTGGCACGGCACGCCACGGCACGGCACGCCAGGGCGCCAGCGAGGAACCCATTTCCGGGAACGCGTCGGGGCCGAATTCGTAGAGTACTTTGGCACAATGGCGACGGTGTGCGCGTTCTAAACCGGAAGCACGCCTCGGCCGCGAAAAGGGACGCCGGCTCCCCGCTTTCCTATTGGGGCTGTTGGAGAGCCAGTTGTTTCGACATGTTGGCAGACCAACACGAAGGAGCGGGTCTTGGTTTGGTTGCATGCAGCGCGTGTTGCGGCGCAGTGCAGCCTTGGCGCCAAGGCGGACTTGGCGGCAGCCGTGACCTTCCGCCGCCTCGCCTCTCGGCCTTGGAGTCGCTTCGAGTCCTCCCCATGATTGATGCCCTCGGCCCGGGTTATTGATTTCCATGTGGCTCGACTACATGGCCGTGGTGGCCGTGGTGGCCGTGGTGGCCGTGGTGGCCGTGGCGGCCGTGGCGGCCGTGGTGGCCGTGGTGGCCGTGGCGGCCGTCGTGGCCGTGGTGGCCGTGGCGGCCGTGGTATATATATATATATATATATAATATATATATATATACACACACACACACACAGACAGACAGACACACGAACACACACACACACACAGAGCCCTTTACACGGTCCGTCGGAAATGTCACGCCGTGTTTCGGTTTGGCGCCACTTGGAGGCGCCAGCGTCGCGTCCGAAGGGCCAGAACGGACCGAAGGGTCAGAAATAAGGGAAAAAAGAGCGAGTGGAGAGGGCCGCCGGTCCAGCAAACTGAAGCCAAAAAGTGGTTTTATGGCTCTGCCGCTCTCGCACTCATTGGGGTGTGCTAGGCCGCGTGGGCGCGGGCAAAGCATTAGCCCGCCCACGCGCTGCCACGCACTGCTACGCACCGGGGCAGCGGGCAGCGAGCACAAAAGGGAAAACAATTTGCCAAGTCGATAAAGAAAACCAGAGGGGAGCAGGGATGCGAACCACCGCCGTGACGGAGATTTCCGAGAATCCGCTCTTGCTCAGCAGTTCGGCGCGGTTTCGAACTAACCAATTTACATAACGTCGACGTCGGGTTTCGAATATCCGAGCCAGTCCAACTGCAGGCTGATTCCGAGAGACGTTTCCGT